ACTGAATGTTTTCAGAAGAATGACTGATTTCAAACTGTTTGCTCCATAGAAAGCATATAATAAAGCATAGGAACACTGATTACAAAGTGAAACAGTGAAATCAATAATAATAAACTTCTACCCATCTTCCAAAACCTGTTCACATGCCCTCTCCTTACCCTGTACTGATCACCTAGGCCACAAATTAGCCCTAAGGCTTCCAACTTACAAGTCACTTACTGTTCTCTATGAATACCTTGGACACTTAACATGCCTTACTTTATACTATATAATCTTTATCTATATATTTCAACTCCATTACTAGCATTTTAAGTTCTTTTTGAGCCCTGAACAAATACCAGCTGAATGAATGAATGAGTGAATGACTAAGTGGACAGATGTTTGGATAGAGACTTCTGGCAACAAAATCCAAGATAATGGGTCATAGGTGATTCAAGATATTGAAAAGCATATTATTGAGATACGCTGGCAAGAATTAGCACTAGATAAAACATGAAATTATAGCCCTCCCCAAAAAAATAACCTTTTGGAAATTCTTTAATAATTCACATTTTAGCCAGCTTTTATGTTCTAATTAATATAAAATATGAATTTCAAAATTATTTTTTTGAGACAGAGTCTCACTCTGTCACCAGGCTGGAGTGCAGTGGCGCGATCTTGGCTCACTGCAACCTCCACCTCCTGGGTTCAAGAAATTCTCCTGCCTCAGCCTCCCAAGTAGCTGCAACTACAAGTGTGTGCCACCACATCCAGCTAATTTTTCTATTTTTAGTAAAGACGGGGTTTCACCATGTTGGCCAGGATGGTGTTGATCACCTGACCTCGTGATCCATTCACCTCAGCTTCCCAAAGTGCTGGTATTACAGGTGTGAGCCACCGTGCCTGGCCATTTTAAAGATTTTTTTTTTTTTTTAATCAAATAAACATATTCTGGCACTACAAAGATAAGAACAGTGGTTTAGGCCTGGTGCAGTGGCTCACGCCTGTAATCCCAGCACTTTGGAAGGTCAAGATGGTCGGATCATCTGAGGTCAGGAGTTTGAGATCAGCCTGGCCAACATGGTAAAACCCCATCTTTACTAAAAATACAAATATTAGCTGGGCGTGGCGGCAGGTACCTGTAATCCCAGCTACTCAGAGGCTGAGACAGAAGAATCACTTGAACCCAGGAGGTGGAGGTGGCAGTGAGCCGAGATCATGTCACTGAACTTTAGCACTCTAGCCTGGGCGATGAGAGTGAAACTCCATCTCAAAAAAAAAAAAAATAAGAGAGACTGAAAAATAAAAAAATTAAAAAAAGAACAGTGGTTTAGCTCCAAACTAAAATTTTACTATGCATAGAAATAAGATCACCTAGATTTTCTGACAGAGTTTAATTAAATCACCAATATTCTTCTAACAGAAACATGCTTATCAGATAAGAGTAAGTGTTAAGGACAGAATACAAAACTATGTATACATTATGGCCACAAACAAACCTGGCACAGGGAAAAAAGCCAGGAAGAACTTATACAAAATGACCAAGGTCATGAGTTCAAAGGAAGAAGCCACGGGCAATGTGGTTCTACTTTCTCCATCTTCAATACTTTATTTTCTTTCAATAATCACTATGATATTTCTCTACATAGTCCTTACCTTTTATCTCCTTATATATCCTCAAATTAAATCACCATACATCATATATTACTATCTGCTTTTACATTTAAAAATAATCCCTTAGTATCAGGCATAAGATGAGTCACAGCTTAGTACTTATCATAGCATGAACATGATAAAGTATAACTCCTATAAGCCTCAATTTTCTCATCTAAGTAAGTCAACTCTGCAGGACTAAATAATAGCGCATGTAAAACACCTAGCACAGTGCCTACCTCACAGTAGTGCTCCATTTTCTTTTCTTTTTTTTTTTTTTTTTTTTTTTTGA